AGACAGCAAGGAACCACAGATTGGGAACTCAGTGCCTGGCTGTTAATACTCAACACTTAACACGTCCTAATGGCCCCTGTCCCCAGGCAGGCTCTGTGCCTGTTTCCATAGCAGGTGGAGGTCTGTGGCTCCAGCTGACCTGTCTTTTCCCCCATCCAGTCTCGTCAATGGCTGGGAGGTATAGCATCATCCTGTGAGTCTGCTCCAGCAACAGAAAGATCATAGCAGAGCGGGCTTTGCACTGGGGCTGGTGGGCTGGGGGCTCCATGTGTAATCCAGCACTGTGGCATTGGTGGACAAAGGACAAGGAGATGCAGGCCACCGCAGAAGAAGGCTTGTACATAAACACTGTCTCCTTTCAGGCATTTCCCCAGTTCATTCCAAACAGCACATTGACAGTAGATTTCTTTTTAAAGAATTGTTTATTTTTGTTGGAAAGCAAATTTATAGAGAAGGAGAGACAGGATGAGAAAAGATCATTTGCTGGTTTACTCCCCCTATGGTTGCAACAACTGGAGCTGGACTAATCTGAAATCAGGAACCAGAAGCCTCTTCTGGGTCTCCCAGGCTGGGGACAGGGTCCCAGGGCTTTGGCCCATCCTTTGTCACCTTCCCAGGCCACAAGCAGGGAGGTGAATGGGAAGTGGAATAACCAGGGCATGAACCGGCGCCCACGTGGGATGGCAGTGGTTGCATGTGGATTAGCCAATTAATTGAGCCATGATGCCACCTCTGACTGTAGATTTGAGATGAACTTTACTTTGAATATTGTGAGACTAAATCAATTAAAAAAGCAAAAAGCCTGAGGTAAATCTCAATTTGAGGTATTTTGGTGTAAAATTCACTTAAACCCATGCATAGTTTTTTTTACTTTTCATATTCTTAATTTTCCACAAAGTTATCAGGAACCCTGGTACTTGAGTGAGGTTAGGACGTGAGTCAAGCAGATGCCTTGGATAGAAGCCAGCAGGTGCAGGCACAAGGCAGTGTAAATGCTCTCAGCTGAGCGTGTGCCTGCCCCATGGCAAGGTCCACCAGGGAAGACTGCCCGGCTGGAAGGGGGACGGAGAGGAGACTGAAGCTCCTGCCCCTTGTCCATACCTGGAGCAAGGCAGAGGTTCCTCTACGGGCTAACACCTTCGTGTGTGCCCCTGTGCTGCGTGAGCCGCCCTGCCCGCAGCAGCGCCGCGTTCTGAGCTAGCCTCTGCTGGTGTCCAGGCAGCACAGTCAGATCGCATGTGCCAGCCCTCAGGTTCTCACCGCATGCTGGGTTCTCCACCACACTTGAGCTGCTTCCTGGCAACCTTAGGCCTAAACCCGGCTTCCTCATCACTCTGAAATCAATGACCGTTCTTACTTCTCATGTTTTGAGGAGTCGTGGAGGTACTTTAAAATTCTCTGACATAGGAAGCACAGCAAATACAGGTTTGTCTAAAAATGGAAGCAGCTGTCTAAACCGTGCTGCTTCCTAGCTGTTGCATTTCGGGTAGTGCTGACGGAACAGTCTGGGGTGTGTGTGTGTGTGTGTCTCAGGATGCTAAGTTCGCCCAGGTGGGCCTGTATGTTTGGTTGTTTTCCATACTTTGTAAAGGGCCCAGCTGGGGTGTATACTGGGGAGAAGAGAGGGGCTACCTGCTGGTTGTATGGCCAAGCACCTTTTCACCCAGTGAATTCTTTCAGTTTGCGGGGCTGTAGGACAGAAAAGCTTCCCAGATGTGATTCTAGCACATTCCTTCTTCCCGTTTCAGTCTTTCCAGAGCGCTTTGTGTATATAACGCCTTCCTGATGGCGTCATGTTTAGTCCTTTCGTCTTTGTCTGAGTTGGAATATGTTAAGAACTATGTTCTGTGCGCTCAAGATGCCTTCCATCTTGTGTTCAATGCGTACAACTCCGGAACTCATTTCTTACCCACCCCCCAATTTCCCATGTTTCCTTAAGTGGAAAATGATTGTCTTTCTTCATGGAGTTCGTTACAAACATTGTATGCTAAATCTCAATGATGTTATCTCAACAGAATTCCTTTCACATTCTTAGAATTCAGAAAACACATCAGAAACTAAACTTTTAAACTTTTTAAAAATAAAATATTTGTTTTATTTGAAAGGCACAGTTACACACAGAGAGAAACAGATCTTGCATCCGCTCGTTCACTTCCCAAATGGCCATACAGCTGAAGCCGGGCCAGTCCAAAGCCTGGAGCGTGGGTTTCTTCCTCGTCTCCCGTGTGGGGGCAGGAGCCCAAGAATTTGGGTCATCCTCTGTTGCATTTCCAGGCCATTAGCATGGAGCTGGATCAGAAGTGGAACAACTGGGACCCAAATGGGATGTCGGTGCAAGATTAGCCTGTTGCTTTCCCGGCTGTCTCCCCTCCTCCAGATTTTGACTTTTAGAAAGGAAACACACTACATGTAAGTTAGGCTTTGCAAAGCCAAGTTCACCCTTTCTTCTGGCCATATCTTAGCATGTCTTTTGTATTTGTTAGAAAAAAATCTTTTTGTCTCAATCCTTATATTGCTGTGACGGTGTGACCACTTGTGTGTCTCCTGTAAGTAGATGAAGAAGTGCCCAACGCCCGTGTGGGGAAGTGGTGGGAGACCGCCGCGGCAGCGGCTGGCACTGGCCGTGGGCGGCCTTCAGGGCTTGAAGGTGGACCGTGCGTGTGGCGAACCGCTTATGGAAGGGCGCCCTCTTGTGCGCACTCGTCATATTTAAAAAGTTAAAAAAAAAAGACCCAGGGACTTCAGGAAGTGGAAAAAGACAACTCAAACCTAGGTTTATGTGTTGTAAACAAAGTCATGCGTGATTTTTTTTAATGCACATTTTCCATGAACTTTTGGAAAGTTAGATATGTGTAATATAACTGAAGTTCAGCTGGGACTCTCACCCAGTCACTGGTCACGTGCTTCACAGCTGAGTAGTTACCGTGTACTTGTCTTGTCTCATTCAGTCTTTAAGCCTTCCTTTGAGTCAACTACCATGATTATTCTTCTCTCATAGACAAGAACTTTGAAATCTTAGAGCAGGGCTTGCCCAACTAGGATCCACAGGCCAAGACCAGCCCACTGCCTGGACTTGCCAATAAAAGCTTCCTGGCACACAGTCAGAGTATCCTGCTTATGTGTTGCCCATGGCTGATTTCAAACTCCAACCACACAGGGAAGCAATTGCAACAGGGATCCTAAGGCTTGCAAAGTGTAAGATATCTATCTGCTTCTTGCAGACTGTGACAAGCCCCTGATTCCCAATGCCACCATTGCAAAAAGGGACAGTGAGGTGGACGGTGATGTGACAGTGAGAAGCAGTGAGATGGACAATGAGGTGGACAGTGAGGTGACAGTAAGGTGGACAGTGGGGTGGACAGAAGACTAAATTAATGAACAACCCATTGCTAAAATGACAGGACCAAACTACCACCTATACATATTAACTCTGAATGTAAATGACTTAACCTCATTAATCAAACATCAGAGATTAATAGACTGAATTAAAAAACAAAACCCATCTATTTGTTGCCTATAGGAGATATGTCTCACCAACAAAGACCAATAGAAACTGTATCTCTTGGATTTAGATTTTTGTTAGTATCAGTGCTTCAAAACACTTTCTTCTGATTAAATTCTTCGGTGACTCATAGATCATACAGTAGCAACATTATCTTCAAGAAGGTTAATTTTCTTTTACATTTCTTCAGCAACACCTCAGTCATTCAGTAGCATGTTATCTAACTTCATGGTGTTAATTTATTTTTCTTCCTGTTGCTGATTATGTTTTGTGGCTTTTCATTTAAGGGGAAGTATAGTAACTGTGTAATGGAGACTAACATATCCAGATGTGAGGATACAATGCAGTATGCATCTCTACTTCCAGACAAAGATGGACTCCCAATGAAACTGTTTACTGTATCTTGACAATAGGATGCTGGACTCTCTGCCATTGTCCATGCCCACAATGATGGACATATGATTATCTATGAAGAACTATACTATAGTAATGATATAGGGGAAGTCAGTGAGGGGGGAAGGAATTGGGGAGGGGTAAGGGAAATCCCAGGGCCTATGGTATATCAGAAAATAGTAAGTAAAGTTCTTTAAAGAAAGAAGGAAAGAAGGGAGGAAGGAAAGGCTAGAAGAGAGAGATTAAGGAGGTTGTAGGTAGGTGGGAAAAGGGCACCCATCTCCCATCACCAGGAGTCTCCTCTTGCACCCCCTGGTGGTGAGAACGTGCAGCCCCTGTGGCTCATGGCTTTCAGAGGCTTTGCATGGATAAACCGGGGTCCATCCTGGAGTATTTTTAGGTCCCTTTGCCTGAGATAAGCAACAATGTGAGGGTTTCCACAGCTCCCTGGGAGCTGAGATACCTGTACAGTGGTTTGAGAGCACAGTGACTCCCTTGGATCATCTCCGTGATAGAATAAACATGGGGTGAAGGCTAGCTTCCTTTGGGAACCACCAGCTGGGCTCAGGGAGGTCCCTGCTCCTGCTGGAACTGAACTGCCGCAGGCCCGTGGGAACAGAGCTCTTGTTTGGAACAGCCGGCCTTAGGTCCAAGAATTTATTCAGTTCATTCTCCCTCCAGGAGGGGGCAGCAGAAGTCCTAATTCCAGCAGACGAATCCCAGACCTTTCTTTGGGTGTGACCCCCAGGTCTTGCAAAACACCCAGAACGCTCCTGAACCCAGATGGTTTCACGGGCAGGACAAGATGGAGGGGGCTGGAAAATACGAATAGGAGGTGAAACAGGTTGATAATGATTTTCCAAGACGAGGTTTTCTTAAAACCCAGACAGAAAGACAGACATCTAGTCTGTAATGTTAATTACCTCTCACCCTGTATCCCCACTCCAAGTGAGTCCTTTGCTCAAGATGTGGTAGGGTATGCACTGATGATAAAGAATCACTTCCGGGTGCGTTCCGAGTTCCCAGGAGTTCGAGGCGGGCGGGTGCGGGGCGTGGGGGGGAGGGGAGGGGAGCGGCGGGCGGGCGGCGGGGCGGCTCCGGCTCGAGCCTCGGCAGTGGCGTCGGCGACGACGGCGGAGTCGGGGCGGCCGCGAGCAGCTGCGCTCAGTGTCCCCCGGCGGCGACGGCGCCAGAGCTGGGAGTTAGGGCCACGCGCGCGCGCGCCGGACCGCGGCCACTGCCGCCGCCGCCGCCGCCGCCCAGAGCCTCCAGCGCCGGGGCTGAGGGGAGCCGGGGGGAGGGTGGGGGATGGCGCGGACCCCGGGGCCGGCCCCGCCGTGTCCCGGAGGCGGCAAGGCACAACTTTCCTCCGCTTCTCCCCCCGGGGCCGGGCTCCCGCTGGCGCCCCCGACGCCGCCGCCGCCGCCGCCGCTGCTGCTGCTGCTGCTCTTGCCGCTGCTGCTCCTCAGCCGGCTCTGTGGTGCTTTAGCTGGACCAATTGTTGTGGAGCCGCATGTCACAGCAGTATGGGGAAAGAATGTTTCTTTGAAGTGTTTAATTGAAGTAAATGAAACCATAACACAAATTTCATGGGAGAAAATACATGGCAAAAGTTCACAGACTATAGCAGTTCATCATCCTCAATATGGATTCTCTGTTCAAGGAGAATATCAGGGAAGAGTCTTCTTTAAAAACGAATCACTTAATGATGCAACAATTACTCTCCGCAACATAGGATTCTCTGATTCTGGAAAATACATATGCAAAGCTGTTACTTTCCCCCTTGGAAATGCCCAGTCCTCTACAACTGTGACTGTGCTGGTTGAACCCACTGTGAGCCTGATCAAAGGGCCTGATTCTCTAATTGATGGAGGAAATGAAACAGTAGCAGCCATTTGTATTGCAGCCACTGGAAAACCAGTTGCACGTATTGACTGGGAAGGTGATCTTGGTGAAATGGAATCCACCACTACTTCTTTTCCAAATGAAACAGCAACAGTCGTTAGCCAATACAAGCTGTTTCCAACTCGATTTGCTAGAGGAAGGCGAATTACTTGTGTTGTAAAACATCCAGCCTTAGAGAAGGATGTTCGATACTCTTTCATATTAGATATACAGTATGCTCCTGAAGTTTCAGTGACAGGATATGATGGAAATTGGTTTGTAGGAAAAAAGGGTGTTAATCTGAAGTGTAATGCTGATGCTAATCCACCACCCTTCAAATCTGTGTGGAGCAGGTTGGATGGACAGTGGCCTGATGGTTTATTGGCTTCAGACAATACTCTTCATTTTGTCCATCCACTGACTTTCAATTATTCTGGTGTTTACGTTTGTAAAGTGACCAATTCTCTTGGTCAGAGAAGTGATCAAAAGATCATCTACATTTCAGATCCTCCTACTACTACCACCCTTCAGCCTACCATTCAGTGGCAACCCTCAACTGCTGACATCGAGGATCTAGCAACAGAACCTAAAAAGTTGCCTTTTCCATTATCAACCTTGGCAACAATTAAGGATGACACAATTGGCACAATCATTGCTAGTGTAGTGGGTGGGGCTCTCTTCATAGTGCTTCTGAGCGTACTGGCTGGAATATTCTGCTATAGGAGAAGACGGACGTTCCGTGGAGACTACTTTGCCAAGAACTACATTCCACCGTCTGATATGCAGAAAGAATCTCAGATAGATGTGCTTCAACAAGATGAGCTTGAGTCTTATCCAGACAGTGTAAAAAAAGAAAACAAAAATCCAGTGAACAATCTAATACGTAAAGACTATTTAGAAGAGCCTGAAAAGACTCAGTGGAACAATGTAGAAAATCTCAATAGATTTGAAAGACCAATGGATTATTATGAAGATGTAAAAATGGGAATGAAGTTTGTCGGCGATGAACATTATGATGAAAATGAAGATGATTTAGTTTCACATGTAGATGGTTCAGTAATTTCCAGGAGGGAGTGGTATGTTTAGCAACCGCTAAATGTGATTTAACTATGTACAATGTTTCATTCATACTTGTTGATCATTTTCAGATTGTTCATACTTTTTCTTGAGGAAGAATAAGCTTTTTCAAGTTGATTTTCAAGCTTACTTTTTATATTCTATTCTGACCAATGAAAATGTAAAATCTAGATTCAGTGTATCTGAGCTGCTTTACAGTTTTTTTCAATGCTGTACTACTGTCTCAAGATTTAAATTTTAATGCAGAGTACTTTATTAATCTGAGGCACACAGGTAAGAGGAAATGTCAATGTTAAATGTAAGACTTTTTGGTACAAAAATTAAAAAAAAAAAAACTACCTTGGCATTGTGTATTAAATGTTTACCCAAAACTATACTCTCAGTAATGTTTGTTAAATATATACCTCTCAAAGTTTATTACCACTAAATCATAATGCACCAAAATCGATTGAAAGGTTAATTCAAGATATGTTTCTAAATATTTTTAGCATACAGCAAATATTCAGTGTGATCAAACATTTTCAAACATTTTCTAAGTTTCTACACAAATGAAATATTTACCTCTGCATTTTAATGAGCCTTGCCGTAATTACTGTAGAGTTGCTTTGCAGAGATATTTTGTTGCACTAAAACTGTGGTAGTAAACTCAGTGAATACAGTGTGTGAGAGAGCATAATTAGCTGATAAATATTTTGTCTAAAATATATACAGGAAGAATAAAACACATGCCTTTTAAACATTATTAATGTTAGTTTTTTTTTTTCATCTCTGGAAGACAATTATATTGTCTTGTAAACCTGGATTTTGGTACAAAAAGCAATAGCCTTATTTTAATGTTTGTGATCCATATATATGAGTTGTAATGATAAGAGGTACACAATTCAATACACTGCAGAGAAGGAATCTGAATACAGCGCAGTTTCAGTTTTAGAAATTAAATAGTTCAGCTATAAAAAGTTTTCTACACCATGTTGTTTAGTCATTTAATGTTGATGTTGTTCAAACGGGTAAATGTATAGAAAAAAAAATTAGAGTAAACTTTCAAACTTGGAATTTAAGTAGAAAAATATAGAACCGGTCATTAACAATTGTAGATCGATATTGGCAATTCCTCCTCCTTTTCCCTCTAAATGTATGTATGTTTTGAGATTTTTGTTTTCCCAATTAAAACTGGAAACATAAAAAAAAAAAAAAAAAAAAAAAAAAAAAAAAGAATCACTTCCGTTTAATACATAGAATCTTGCTACCCTAATTACATTTTTAAATAGGATTAATTTGTTTATAGAAAGAGGGAGGTTTTTTTTGTTTTTTGCTTTTTTTTTTCATCTGATGAGTCACTCCCCAAGTGATCTCGACAGCCAGAATTGGGTCAGGCATAAGCCAAGAACCAGGAACTTAATTTTGGCCTCCCACACAGGTGGCAGGGGCCCAAGGACCTGTGGCATCTTCCACTGCCCTTCCGGGCACATTAGCAGGGAGCTATAACTAACAAGCTAGCTTTGAGTTAATCCTACCTTGATTTTAGGTGTATATAAAACTTAATAGTTTTATCATTCTTCTATAACACCATCCTTTTTCTCTTCATTTATGTGATTATTCTCCTATAAATCACACTTATATATTATACGCCTATCCATCTAGTTTTAAAATCATATTGCTTTATGCTGTTTTCTGTTGACTGAAATATGGGGGGGCGGGGAAAGTTCCAATAAGACATACATCTATTCTGTCTCCCTTTGATATTTCTTGTAGAGCAAGTTCCCCTAATAATGAATTCTGCTATTTCTTTATTTTTGTCTAGGGTTATCTTAATTTCTCTGTGAGTTATGAGTGATGGTTTTGCTGGATACAAAATTCTTGACTGAATTTTGTTTCTTAACAGGTTGAATACCATTCCGCTGTTTTCTGGCTTTCACGATTTCTAATAAAAAACCAGCTGCTCGTGGAAGTGCAGAAAGTCACACTCTCCTCTTCCTTCAGGGTTTGTTATGATTTGTTTCCAAAGTTGCTACTTTTTAAGTCACCTTTAAGATAGAAGTCTGTGTTCTGTGTGTTTGGCTACTGGGAATTTATGCCCAATTAGCTTCAGGATCACCTTGTAATTTGGCAGGCGTTTTTCTGTACTCGTTTTTGCTAGGTCCTCTGTCAGGGTGCTAAGGCATCGTTAGGCATTCACCCAGACGGTTGATACCTCTGTGTAGAGCCTCGGTGACATCAGGGTGGCGGGGAGGCCCCTCAAGTCTTTCCTGAGCATTGGCACAGCCCTACTCATGCAGAAGGCATCCAGGTTCTGAGGAACCTGCTGAGTTTTCCAAAGCCCCAGTGGACATTTCTTATCCAGCTTTTCCATCAAACGTGCTCCAGCCGTGCTCTGCTCCGCCCACTGGATGCTGGGTTTCTGTTTTTCGTTGCAGTTGTGGAATATGATTGATAAGCTCTGCTGGGAATCTGGAAGGGGGTGATGTGACAGGGCAAGTTAAAATGCTACAAAGCTGACTCACTGTTCCCTTGAATAAATGCTGTTAGACTTCTGATAAAATATTCTGACCATGCGTGCCCTTTCTAAAATTTCTTTTGTGGAGGAGAGATTTTTGGAGGGTTCTGCTGCCCCATTTTTGCTGGTATCACCTAGAGCCCCTTTTAGATTTTGAGGCCCATCTTATCCTCAAATGTAGCTGCTTCCACAGCTGATGGATTTCCTTTATTACGGATGATTATCTTGGGATCAAGCAGGAAAGTGTTAAAGCATGCATGTTTATACAATTAATAATCTACAAGTTAATGAAATTGTAACCTAGTGCTTCAGTGTATGCACAATTATTTTGTATCTAAATTATTTTCAAAACATGCTCCAGTTTGTAGAAATTTCTTATTTACACAATAAATTGCTATTAATTCATCTAGGAACAAGCGAGTGGGAGAAAGACAGGAGAGAGAGGGAGAGAGAAAGATCCACTGCTTATTTATTCTGCAAATGCTGTCACAGCTGGCTGGCTGGCCGAGTCCAGGAGCAGGACACAGGTCTCTTACGGGGGTGGCAGGAATCCAGGACCTGAAGCCTTCACCTCTAGGGGCCACATCGGTATTAAACTGGAGTCCGAAGCTGGACCCAGCGGTCAAGCCCAGGCTCTCTGATGTGAGTCGGGTGCCCTGACCAACTCCTCAGATTCCAGGCCCAATACCTACCCAACCCTCAGTAATTTTTTAATGACTAATGAAAATGTGTAAATGTTAAGATTGCTAATGAATTTCAAATATTGCAAAAGAATAATCAAAGAAAGTTTTCCATTAGTCTGTAAAGAGTAAATATTTCATTATATTCTCTTGGCAGAGAGATAAAGCTTAAATGTAAGAAATTAGGAAACAAAAATTATTGTGCAACAGTTTACAGGTAAACAAAGAAGTGGGGCCAATGTGGTGGCATAGTAGGCTAATGCTCAGCCCACTAGCGTTGACATCCCTTATGTGTGGGCTCTTCCACGTTTGATCCAGCTCCCCGCTCATGACATGGGAAAGCCATGGAGGATGGTTTAGGTCCTTGGGAGCCTGTTGCCACGTGGCAGACTCTGAAGAAGCTCCTGGCTCCTGGCTTCAGACCAGTTCAGCTCTGGCTGTTGTGGTGTTTGGGGAGTGACCCAGAGCATGGAAAATCTTTCCCTGTGTCTCTTCTTCTCTCAAATGTGCCTTTCAAACAAAAGTAAATAAATCTTTAAAAATTAAAAATAAATGAAAAGGTAATTCAAGAAGTGATGTGGTAAAAATGTGAAAATAAATACAAGCAAGTGCCATTTTGTACATGCAGAAATAGTAAGGGTAACGTCTAAAGGAAGTATTGCATGGAAAATCACACGTACAACCAGGGATCACTTCTGTTAGTAGTGGCAAAATGACAAAGAAAACTTACCGAAGGTATGAACTCGGTGTTTCACAGATAGGCAGTCAATTATTTATTTTCTGTTTCTCAATATGGGTACTCAAAATGCTTTTTTTCAACCCCTTTTATTTGCTTTAGCCATGTCTCTGACATATATTATAACCTTCTGATAATCTCCAGTGATGAAAGACTTTAAGTCCAGCACAATTCAAATGACCTTCCTGCCCCATCAGCCTAACCCTGCCTTGTCGTGGACTCTCCTGCAAGCTCTTCTTCTCTCACTGACCTTCATTTATGTCTCTGCCTTTCTCCTATATGTCTAATCAGGAATGGCCCTGCCCCGGACTTCAGGAGCATAGGATGAGCTCCTCCAGGCGACCCCTCACTGTTAGCTATTCTGGAGCTGCACTGGATAGGTTGCTGATTCTCAGCAGCCCATCCAACACCCAGACGGGACACAATGCGAGCATCTTGCTTTCATGCAAAGCCTCCCAATCTCTCTGAATGGTTTTCTTGTGGACTTTTGGTTTGGCCTGAGAGTGGGATGAGCAAAGCCTTTCTATTCAGAAGAAAAGGGAAGAACCACAGCTGTTTCTCCAAAGCGATCAGTTCTTAGAACTTTCTGCTTCAGAGGACGTTTCTGAGATATCTAAGCCAATGTTTCTGGAGACTGGGAGGACTGAGGCTGCATTGTTCCCTGGTTCTGTGCCCCTGACGTAAGCTTGAAACACACCAGGCCATTTCTTGGTTTTGTTCTAGGCCGTAGGATGCCATGGAAAGGGAGTGTGGGTGTGTCCCATTTCTGGTGTTTCTGCAGCATGCTGACAATGGTGGAGACTGAGTACAGAGAAATCACTTCTCCTGATGCTTGTGTAAGTGCTGGGGCATCATGGAGAGGGAGTGTGGGGGAATAGTGCCCAGGACGCCAAAGCCTCCAAGTTCATAATCTGGAAATGGCTTCCTGCTCCCCTGGGGACTCGGCATCAACTCCAACCACCTTCCAACATCTGCTGGACCTTTTGTGGGGCAGGAATAGGTGGGAGCTCTGAGTTAATTTTTATCCCTTTCTGCATATTTGTGCCCACTCTCCTGAAGATCTGTGACAGAGCAGAGATTACTTTTGCTCCCTGTGGGAGCCTATTTTTCTCGTCTGTGACTATGGGCTATATTGGGTAACCCCAAGAACACAGAATGTGTCTGTCTGTGGAGAGAGAGTATTTAAATTATTTAGCTGTGGGGCCTTAACTCAATATGCTAGATGTTCTTATATGAGGAAATCAGGATACAGGGGACCTTATGAAGACACTGGGAGAAGATGGCTATCCACGCACCAAGGAGCAAGGCCAAGCTTGTCAGTGTCTTCATGGCAGACTTCCTACTCCAAGACTGGTGGAAGTCATGTCGTCACCTGACTGTGGTGCTTGGTTGCGGCAGCTCTAGCACAGATGTGCCTCTCTGTCCAACCATTCCTCCAATTCAGCGTCTTCTCACTTTTCCTTCTCTTCCTTCCTCCCTTCGTTTCTTTCTTTCTTTCTTTCTTTCTTTCTTTCTTTCTTTCTTTCTTTCTTTCTTTCTTTCTTTCTTTCTTTCTTTCTTTCTTTCTTTCTTTTCTCTTAATCTCTCTTGCCTTCCTTTCTTCCTTCTTTCTTTTGCTTGAAGTGGAAAGATCACCCAGTGGAGCCACTATACCATGCCCAAACCCTACCCCCTCAAATAGCCAAGTGGTCAGGTAGCGTTTGGGTCTCACTGGATGTATCTATGTAGTCCAGACAAAAACAGTAGGGCCTTCTTTCAAAAGTGGAAAACAGAGCTGAAGGCTTTGCCTTCCAGCGGTTGGTATCCAAGAGGGAGACACGGAGCAATATCTTGTTTATATGATACTGCTGTCCTTATAATGAACCCTTTATACCATTTTCCTTGAGTCAAAATTAAAACAGGCATGCTACCTAGCTAGAGGATGGACTAGGCAGTGAAAAGCACAGCTCTAGCAGGCTGCATTCTAAGGGAAGTTTGCATCTGTAATGATGACTGAACTGGGAAGGCAAGGTCTGAGACCCCCAAACAACTGGTAACCTAAATAGCAAAAAGAAACTAAAAAGACCATTTAGTTTGAGTCTGCTTCAGAATTCAAATAGAAGTAAAATGTGCTGAAGGTGCTCTAAAGACAAGGCTCATACTTCTGGAAGCATTTTTCCTTAACATTGCTTCAGCAGCCATGCTTCGAACGCAAGTACACTTGATAGCAAAGGGATACAAGCAAGAAAATACTGGAAAGTAGCACAGCTTAAGCCCTAGCGAGAACC